GAGCATCTCACACTTCTGATAATCAGTGTCTGCTTGACGTTTATTCAGCTGTGTAAAAACTATTTAATACTGTTTTTTCTTGCTTTTTAAAACTAACTCTGACTCCCAAACTAGTCTGGGAATCTAGTAACTGTTCAAGCTCTAGCCAGTTGCCTTGTAGATAGACACAACGTCTTTTATATTCAGAAAAGCAGCAACAGCTCACACATATATGGCCACTTTGCAGTACAGTGTTTTTTCCACTTCCAGGATGTTTGATTAATTCAAAGCTGGGTTGTTTAAGGGGGTTAACTAACCCCGTGTTAATCCAATTCAAAAATCCCATAGTTAGGAGTTAAAATAAAAACAAGCTCAATTTAAGATTGACTGGAAAATCTGGATTTCAGCATCATTACAACTTGAAATGAAGACATTATCCTCCAAACCCAGCAACAAACACAACAAAAAGACAGTTTTTACCACTTTCTTACAACCATGAATGCGAAAGTAGATGAAAATATGAAAACCACTGTATTAGTGTTACTTGAGAATTAATGGGTGAACCCCTTGAATTGTATTGCAACCAAGGCAATCTTTCTCTTTCCACGTTCTGTTTGCTGTTACGATGAGAGCAGGGGCTGTCGTTCGGCAGCAGTGCTCTGAAAAAGAAAAATATAAAAAAATATATATATAAAATGCAAATATATTACAATTTAAAGTACTGAGAGAGGAACTGTGATGCTGCATGAGTAAGTCAGGAAAGGCAGTGAAGTATGTGAGGGTTGTTCAGGACATGCATGTAAGGAGTAGATGGAAGAGATCCTGGAGTGGTGGAAATATGCAAAAGAGAGAAGAGGGATTTAAATTCACAGAGGACAAAATGCATGTGTATGAATGAGACAGATGCATATAGATCGATAAAGATGCAAGAAGTAGAGCTAATTAGGGGGAATGGGTTTAAGGTAAGTTAGAGAGGCGAGGCTGAGATGATTTGGACATTTAAAGGGGAAGGGTAGTGGAGATATTGGACAAAGGATTCTGAAGATGGAGCTGCCAGGCAGGAGGAAAAGAGGGAAACCGCACACAAGGATATAATGTAGGAGGGACATGCAGAGGGTTGGTGTGACAGGAGAGAATGCTAAGGATAAGGTCAGATGGAGGCAGATGATCCAAATACCTAAATATCTGATCAGACAATGGCCTGTATTTGTATAGCGCTTTACTAGTCCCTAAGGACCCCAAAGCGCTTTACACATTCACACAATCACACGGCAGCAATTGATTAGCTGCTGAAGTTCGAATTGAACATCAAAAGGGGGGCAAAAGTTGATTTGAGTGACTTTGAACATTGCATGATTGTTGGTGCCAGTGGGGCTGGGCATTTCAGAAAAATATCCAGTAAGCAGCAGTTCTCTGGGTGCACATGGCTTGTTGATGACAGAGGATTGCCAAAAAAATGGCCAGACTGCTGCTAGCTCATAGGAAGGCAACAGTATCTGCTCTGAATAGTCTTAAAATCTACTACAATATTTGAATTAGGGCTGCCCCAAACGATTATTTTGATAGTCGACTAGTCACCGATTATTTTTGCTATTAGTCGACAATCAGATCATGCATCCATTGGACGTAAAGCTTATTGCACAGCTTTAAGTGTTTAAGGTCTGTGCTAACTAAAAATAAAGACAAGATGATAGTTTATTAAATTTTAATGAAATTTGCAGATTGTTTGGTGAAGTTTAATAAACTCCTTGCTATCTAAAATATAACAGGACACCGGAGTATATTCTCGAGCATCTCACACTTCTGATAATCAGTGTCTGCTTGACGTTTATTCAGCTGTGTAAAAACTATAACTTTAATCTCAGCCAAACCGATTTACTCAGGAACAAATAAAATACTGAAAAAAGCCAAACAATAACATTTTTAAGTTATCTAAGTGACTTATATATCATGTTTAACCTGAGTAGCGAAAGACGGCGGTGGGTTTGAAAACGATTTGCCGGGAGTCCGGTGTTCTCACGGGCTCTAGTGACCTAGCCCCCGGCTAGCTATCGAGCTAGTGGGTAACAGACGTCTCCGAAAACGTCGGAGCGCTTTTGAAAATATGCGGTGTCTTGATAAACTGAGCAGATATTTGAGGTTTACACAGCTACATTCTCGCCTGAAAATATGTTAAACGTTTATTTTGTGACCCAGAAAGAATAATAAGAGTAATATTAAAACTAACTAGCTGCCGCCATTGTTGGAAACTGAGCTGGGCCGCGCTATGAATTCTGGGACAGAGCTACTTCTTCTTCTTCGGGGTTTAACGGCAGCTGGCATCCTTGTACATGCAGTGCTGCCATCTTCTGTTTCAGTCCGTTATTACACTCTTAAATCCTGCTACTTATTCCTGCGTCTTTTGGGATCTTACAAAGCTTCAAACGACGCGTCGACTATTAAATCAGTCGTCGACGATTTTGATAGTCGACGTAATCGTGACTAGTCGACTAATCATTGCAGCCCTAATTTGAATAGACTCACCCATTAACTGATTTCAGTTAATTTGTTTTTTTTAGTTGTAGTTTGTAGTTCTTTAGAGTGGAGCGCAGCATAGCATTAATTAAACAGGTTCGATTTGTATTTTCTAAGTTATTTTTCTTGAGCATTTATAGGGCTTTTGGGGCATGCTGTGGACTAATCTAAGGTGCTTCATAATGAAAAATAAATCAATTTATTTGAACTATTTTTTAGATTATTTTAAATTGACCACATACACCATCATAAATCTGAATGAAAAAAAATGAGCCATCCTGTATGAGCAAGCACTTGGCAGAACCAGGCTCAGGCCATCTGTCCCAACATAATGACATCACACAGTTGCTTATTGCACAAGCTCACCTCGGGGACTTTCTGTTGACACACCAAGAACATGAAGATTCCTCCCACAATGATGGCCAGGCCAATCAGCATGAAGGGAATGTTCTCCACAACATTCTGCTGAACATCAATCGCCTTTAGCTTCTTGGCTGCTGTGTCATCAATGGTGGCGCTCTGTTAAGACGGTAAGAGAAAATATTGTGTTATAGCACATAAGAACACAAAACACAGCCCCTACAAAAGTAAATGGTACATTTACGGCCCTTTCATTTACCGTCTGTTCATCTTGGTGTTCAAGTTTATGAAGAAACTGAGACCATAAGAGTTCTATAAACAAGTAATATTAAATTTACTAATTAGTGATTTATATTAGATTAGTCTTCTGTAGCTTTGATTCTGTGGAATCATAGTATCTACCTCTGTATTTTTCTTTTTTTGCCTCCACACAAGTTAGATTTACTAATTTATAGTCTGTCTGAGCAGGATTACACAATGCTTTAATACATAAAAGAGAAAAACACGAGGTACATACTGAAAACAAAAATGCCTCCTTTAACTACAGGGTACTCAAGGGAGTCTTTTCCCTTTGAATCATTTGTATTTAACTGAGAGTTATAACAGAAAATGTATATAAACCAGAGCTGTGGTGTGTGTGTGTACGGGTATTAACATCATTGTGGGGACCAAAAATTGGAAGTTTACTTTACTTGTGGGGACCGACAGCCCTTGTGGGGACCAAAATCCCGGTCCCCACGAGTTTGAAGGCATTTTTGAGATTCAAAATGTGGTTTTAGTGTCAGGGTTACAATTAGTTTTAGGATAGGTCAGGTTAGGCATTCATTTTTGATGGTTAAGTTAGGGTAAGTGCGTAGGGTACATAGGCTAGGGAAAGCAATGTCGGTGTGTGTGTAGTGGTGTGTGTGGGTTGTGGTGTGTGTGTGTGTGTGTGTGTGTGTGTGTGTGTGAGAGGAGATGATGAGAGAGAAAGAGAGAGTTTGGAATACCTGCTGCAGAGTAAGCCACAGGGAAGACTACGTCCTTACATTTCCCGTTTGACTGAAAGAGAATGACATGATAATCTTTAACTATGATGTAATGAAAAATAGCAACTTGGAAAACACAATATAATATACTTGTGTAATATAAATATACTTATTGTAAATTCATACTATCTGTATAATAATAATAATAATAACAATTGATTGGATTTATATAGCGCTTTTCAAGGCACCCAAAGCGCTTTACAATGCCACTATTCATTCACTCTCACATTCACACACTGGTGGAGGCAGCTACAGTTGTAGCCACAGCTGCCCTGGGGTAGATTGACAGAAGCGAGGCTGCCATATCGCGCCATCGGCCCCTCTGGCCAACACCAGTAGGCGGTAGGGTAAAGTGTCTTGCCCAAGGACACAACGACCAGGACAGAGAGCCCGGGGATCAAACCGGCGACCTTCTGGTTACAGATACGCTTCCCAACCCCCTGAGCCACGGTCGCCCCATAAATAAAGCTTGATTACGTATTAATCTCACACCATAAATTATCTGGAGAGTTACATAATTTATTTTTGGACTTCAAGCTCTGTCTCTAGCACCTTTAATTTGAAACAGAATAACAGATATAACATAAAAGTGCCATATCTGGGCTTGTTGGCATCAAAAGAACTGCACAAACTTTCCTTTCAAAGTTCAATATTGCACAAAAGAGCCGACGCTTGGCTAGGGATTCAATTTGATAAGATTTTACTGATATCAGCCCCAACATCAGTTCTGTTTATAAGTTGGATTCTATATTTACTCCCTTAGGCCCCAGAGACAGGGGCAGCCTCTCTCTGACCAAAGTATTCACCATTGTGAGTGCTTTTGCTGCTAGCAGATAGCAGCAGTTGCCTGTAGTTTGCACTCGTGTGCAAAACACTCACCAAATACTTGCTAAGTGGTAGTGAAATTAGAAACAGTGTGAGTTAGCGCGGTTAGCTCGTCTACGCGTTAGTACTGTATAGCCCCGCGCACGGGGCGATCCGCGCTAACTCGCAAACTGAGATTTGCCGCGTTAACGTCATTTTAACAAGATTAACGCTGGCAGCACTACTTTAAAGTAAAAGCTTCACCTTTTGAAACATGCTGGTGTGTTGCAGTAAGGCACAACCTTTACTTGTCTAAAGATTTTGCAATCTACACTGAACAAAAATATAAACGCAACACCTTTTGTTTTGCTCCCATTCCCCATGGGATGGACGTAGAGACCTAAAATTCATTCCAGATACACAATATAACCATCCCTCCCAAACAGTGGTCACAAATCAGTCCAAATGTGTGGTAGTGGGCACATCTGCTATATTGAGATAATCCATCCCACCTCACAGGTGTGCCACATCAGGATGCTGATCTGACATCATGAGTAGTGCACAGGTGTACCTCAGACTGCCCACAACAAAAGGCCACCCTGGAATGTGCAGTTTTGTCTCACAGCAAAATGCCACAGATGCCACAAGCAATGAGGGAGCGTGCAATTGGCATGCTGACAGCAGGAATGTCAACCAGATCTGTCGCCCGTGCATTGAATGTTCATTTCTCAACCATAAGCCGTCTCCACAGGCGTTTCAGAGAATATGGCAGCACATCCAACCGGCCTCACAACCGCAGACCTCGTGTAACCACACCAGCCCAGGACCTCCACATCCAGCAGGTTCACCTCCAAGATCGTCTGAGACCAGCCACCCAGACAGCTGCTGGAACAATTGGTTTGCACAACCAAACAATTTCTGCACAAACTGTCAGAAACCGTCTCAGGGACGCTCAACTGCATGCCCGTCGTCCTCATCGGGGTCTTGACCTGACTCCAGCTCGTCGCCGTAACAGACTTGTGTGGGCAAATGCTCACATTCGATGGCATCTGGCACGTTGGAGAGGTGTGCGCTTCACGGATGAATCATGGTTCACATTGTTCAGGGCAGATGGCAGCTGAGAATGTCCCAGTTCTTGCATGGCCAGCATACTCACCGGACATGTCACCCATTGAGCATGTTCGGGATGTGCTTGACCGGCGTATACGACAGCGTGTACCAGTTCCCACGAATATCCAACAACCTCGCACAGCCATTGAAGTGGAGTGGACCAACATTCCACAGGCCACAATTGACAATCTGATAGACTCCATGCGACGATGTGTTGCACTGCATGAGGCAAATGGTGGTCACACCAGATACTGACCGGTTCTGGGTCCCCAGACCCCCAATAGCGCAAAAAACTGCACATTCCAGGGTGGCCTTTTGTTGTGGGCAGTCTGAGGTACACCTGTGCACTACTCATGATGTCAGATCAGCATCCTGATGTGGCACACCTGTGAGGTGGGATGGATTATCTCAATATAGCAGATGTGCCCACTACCACACATTTGGACTGATTTGTGACCACTGTTTGGGAGGGATGGTTATATTGTGTATCTGGAATGAATTTTAGGTCTCTACGTCCATCCCATGGGGAATGGGAGCAGTAACAAAGGTGTTGCGTTTATATTTTTGTTCAGTGTATATGTTCACAGCAACCACGAGCAACCTCCAGGAACTGCTCGTCATCCAAGCAGGAAAAACACATTTTTCCCTAACGACCAGAGAGACTGGTTTCTAAGCCTCAGTTACTGGGGGGTTATGAGCATTTGTTCATAGTAGATTTGAACAGTTTTTTACCAACAGCATAAATACTTTTATTATCTGAGTTTAACTACAGTGAAGAAAGAGAGTATAAAGAGGTTTTCTTCACTGACTGGCATCATTTTCTTTGTAATGCACAACACTGTGGTTGTTGCATTCACAAAAGTAAGTGTGGACTGTGTAGCACCCATTCGAGACTACAGTACCTACAGTTAGCTTACTTGAAGTTAAGAGTTTTCTGTCATTCCGAGTCATAAATAAAGTGACTGTGCAAATGAAAATGAGAATAAAAATCTATTAGAATGATACAAAAGTTCATGTTGCGGCTGCAGTGATGCGGACGCTGTACCGATCCATCGTGGTGAAGAGAGAGCTGAGCATAAAAGGGAAACTCCTCCTTCCTGGTCCATCTACGTCCCCACCTTCTCCTATGGTCACAAGTTTTAGGTAGTGACTGAAAGAACGAGGCCGTAAATACAAGCAGCAGAAATTAGCTTTCTCCAAAGGGTGGCTGCCCTCTCCCTTAGACATAGTGTGAGGAGTTCGGCCATCCAAGAGGGGTTCAGAGTAGAGCTGCTACTCCCCCACACTGGAAGGAGGCAGTTGAGGTTTTTCGGGCATCTGACAAAGACCCCCCCTGGGTGAGGTGTTCCTGGCATTTCCGGACCCAGTACACGCTGGAGAGATTAGATCTCTCAGTTGGCATGGAAACGCCTTGGTTTTACCCCAAATAAGCTGGAGGAGGTAGCCAGGGAGAGGGAGGTCTAGCCTTCTCTGCTTAGGCTCCTGCCCCCATGACCTGGCGCCAGATAAGCGGAACAAAATGGATGGATTCGCAAAAGTTAGTTTGCCAAAAATAAAGAGGTATATTCTAAAAGCAGAAGGCATGCACAGGACAGATCCAAAATAGCCTGGTGGACAGAAGAGCACAAATCTTGTTGATGAAAGCAAAATGATTTGCATGGGAAAGAAAGGCCCCTTCATGACTCTGTGGCAAATAACAAATATTCTCCAGGATGTAGGCCAATGTGTTTCCTTGTACATAAAAAAGCCAAACCTCATAACCAGAGCCAATTATCTACTGATGTCAGTACGTTTAAGAGACATTGTTAACATTATTCAGTATAATAAATTCTGGCCACTAATGTTGTCTTGAGGGCTCCAACCTTATACATTTCAAAATATTGATGTAAACCTACTCACATTAAAGCTGACTCGCCACTTTAATATAGCTTTTGTTATTTTATCTTATTTCAAATAAAAACAACAGTAATATGTAACTATCTAAACACATACAGTCTCATTATCTTGCTGCTAGTTCCTATCTGAATTCAGATAAACACGTAACAAGTGAGCCAGGTCTGTGCAAAGGTCCACCCATAATGATGATGGTGGCATTATTGCTTTACAATTAGCTTACTGGCAGCCCTTCACAGACATGGGTACTCATGCAGCTATTGCGGCTTCACTCTTCATACTAATATAGTGAAAGTGAAATTCATGAAAAATCAGGTTATTCAGCTGCTTGAACTGATGGAAAGAGCTGCTGATTACCTGAAGGTGGGAATTTGCTCTACATAGACGTTAATCTGGAGTCGCTTGGCTGTTTGGAGAACCACTCCTGTCAGCTGTAAAACACAAATTCATTTTGTTAGGGACACAGAGAATGTGGGAAAAACTCCTGTCACTCCTGATGTATGAACACGTATACCTAAACACCTAAATAATTGTTTTCTGCCCACACTGTATTATGGCCATAATCTTTATAGTAACATGTTGACATTATTTGTAAACCAACAAACCACTGGATAGAAAAACACAGAACTATGCAAAGGTTTTTAGTTAGGTACAGCAGATTTTCCATCCATTACATAATACCATCAGGGAGGCATGTGCTCTGGCCCAGATTCCTCATGCAGCTTGAGAATGACCTCAAACATACAGCTGGAGTGATAAAAAGGTAACTTCAGTGAAAAGAAAAGAAATAAACTGAGTTAATCTGAGATTATGTGAAAAAACGGAAGACGGTGAGACATGGCAGCTGTCAAATAAACCTAATTGGGAGTTTAGTCGTTTCTTTCTTCAGTGTTCTGCATTTTGAAAAACTTAAAAGAGAGAAAAAAATCTCAGGATGTATCATGTATTTATCTAAAGTTACCCCAAACTGTTTGCATAGTACTGCCTGTAGTTTTAATATCTTTACTGTAGGCAAAAATAACTTCACAGCTCTGGGCAAGCAGGGAAGACGGCTGAGGGCATCACAACTCAGCAGTTATGATAAAATTCACAGGACTTTGATCAATCTTAATGATATCATGCCGTGGCAGAGTGATCAAGGAGGATAAACACAAAAAAATGGTAGCTTGTTTATTGGATTCAATACTTTTGTAACCGTAAAACCACCACTTTATATGTGGGTGTGTGAAATAATTAAGTGTACTTTTGTACCAAAGCGTGAGAGCGAATGTAAGAAGGAGTTCTGTGTTAGACTGGTCAGACTGGTGTACAAAGAGCATCTTAAGAGTGGCGTAGCAGTAAAGACAAGCAGAGGTACACCAATCTGCAAAATATCGCATCTGCAAATTGTGAACAAAAATCCGAAAAATACTGCACAATGTAAAAATGCTAAGACTTCAAGTATCTCAGCATCTAATAACATGATCAAAAGACTCAGAAAATCTGGAGAAATCTCTTTGGTGTAACAAAAAAAGAAGAAAAAAAAAAGTATTTTCTCTTAAATTTTGAAAACACGGTCACTGCATCCTCCAGATTCAAGTGGAGAGGGATCATCTGGCTTGTAAATTAGTGTTCAGTTCAGAAGCCTGCATCTCTGATGGTATGGGAGTGCATCAGTGCCCATGGAAGCCATATATAAAGCTATACACAGGCTTTACATTAACATATGCTCTAATCTTGTCTGGGAAGAACTGCCATATTTCTTCAAGACAATGCTAAACTCCATACTGCATCTATCACAACAGCTGTAAACCCACTGAAAACATCTGGAGCATCATGTAATACAGTTTGTTTTTGGGAATTGCACTTTTTTTAAAACTTTTAACTATTACAGAATCATTCATCATTTTTTCTGTTTTCTCTGAAAGTGTATCATGTAAAATTTGTAAAAATAAATAAAGAAATAAAATCAGAAAATTAGATCATATAGCAATTGTTAATTTTTGGCTGCTGTGGCATAAATCTTTCATTGGATGGTGGTCTAATACATTTGTTAAGCACTACACAGTATGTTCAGCTACACGTTGTGCTGCTGGAGGTGTTTTTTTCCAGTCTGTCTCTCGCTATCAAGACTTTACTACAAGTTCAACCAGGTAATTAGAGTATTATTATCATCATGATAAGAGCAGTTAGAGCTTATCTTTCGTGACAGCCCCGTACCACGTACCTCTGATTTAATTTTTAACCACTATTTTAAACAGAAGCTCAACTATTGGCTAGTCATGACAAAAAAAAAAGCTGAGACACTACTCCATCTAGTGTTGAAGATTTAATACTATATAAATCATAATTGTATTAGACAAAATATGTATTATAAATTGAAGAGAGATTCACAACAACACGAGAACGAATTAAACATTTAAGCTTTAAAGATGTGATTCCTACCGGATTGATATCAATGGCAGTCTGGTGCTCTTCCTTGTTTGGCGTCATTCCGAATACATCCTGAGCAAATTTCTCATCTGCCTGGTAGAAGTGTGGTGAAGACATTATGATAGGAGCCCCTAAACAGCAGGAAAAACATTACAGAAGGTATTAACAAAGCAGGGACAACATCTTACTCGACCTGAGGAAAATATGCCATGTGTAAAACATACCTGTAAATGTAAAACATCAATATTCTAATAATGCTATGGCTTGTAATAAACACAGCGTACACTTGTCAGGGACACTGCTAAAGTAGGCCCCAGAAATGACAGTCAGTGAATTAATTTCAGGGAGTCTTTTGCTAAGTGTTGACTCCATATTCTTTACAGTGCAATGAGGAATTGATACAAGTTATTACTCAGCACTAACAACCATAGTTTGTTTGCTTTAAATCAGATGCACCAGAGCACATCACAACAAACCACAAGAGAACTTTCACTTCACTTATTCTACTGTGTCTGAGGAGCCAGAAAGTAAATATGGGAACAAGTTCTCGTGCTTTCGACTAGTGGATGCGTTTGTAATGGAGACGGTCTCTGGCTAGCAAGCATTACTCCTTTTGTGTGTGTGTGTGTGTGTGTGTGTGGG